GTCATTAGCACCTCTAGTAATATATTTACTGAGAAAAATGGTGTCGTGTTCAATACTTATTTTACCCGCTGTATTTTTTAAATTTAATCATGCTGTGAGTAAATATGGATGGTAGAATGTGTTTTATTGAAGAATTTAGAAATTACAGTGTTTTAGACAAAATTGTACAGTCTGGACATACTGTACGGTGTACAAATATGCAAATGAGATATGCTGGATTGTACTGTATGTCAAATATTCATATTTTATGCTACTGTTACCAAATTTGAACTGGTAATAGTTGAGAATTAATATTTTAGCCCAGTAAAATGTGTTTGATAATAACTCATTCCCTTAATATTCTGTGATACTTTATTAATAAAAAATATAAATTTTGGGAAAAAATGTCATGATTTTTGTCTATTTTACTTCAATATACTAAATACTAGTTACAGTTACAAAGAATATGACTGCTGAAGTTCAGATTATTAACTTTAAAAAGAGACCAAGCTTGTGAATTTACTCTAAAGGGTTCAAAAGCAGTACTTCATTTAATTTRTATCTACTTTTTAAGGCGTTTTATTGTATTTTATGCCTGAAGGTTATATATATGCTGTCAAAATGTATCATTCTGTTTGGGAAGCAGATGGCAACATGTAGTATGCAGCATATGCATACACATATAATACATGTGAATTTTATTCTGAAATCAGAAGTTTCAAAAAGACAACAGAGATGCAGTTGTGTTTGGAGTCCRTCTTCCACAGAATAAATTATTTTGCTTTGACTTCCACATTTACCACTGGATTTATCGCCTGGTCTTGCATTTCCAGCATATGCTTCTTGGAGCTCCACCATGCTTCGCACCGAAGCGGAGCAGCGTGGACGCAGTGTGAACTGGGGTGGAAACGAATGGCGGCATACTACACAACGCAGCAGAGCGGAGCAGAACTGCATGTAGTGTAAATTAGGGGTGACACTAAGCAGTTTCAGATTCAGTGTGTTGTCATTTGCAAGGTTTAACCAAAACAGCTATAATGCTGTTCCGACACACAAACACACACACAGAAAAGTGTCAGACAGCTTCTCCTAGTGTTGCACAACTTGGCTCATCATTTATTTTCATATTTTACAGCAAAACACACAAATTCTTTATGTTTGATCAGAGGACAGTGTAAAGGAGGAGGAAACACAAAAAAATCACAGTGTTGTACCTCTCAACAGTCCACTGTGGGAGAGGCTGGTTTAATAAATTGCCCTCCAGTAATTGATTCATTTATGTTGGGTTTCCCTGGTAACCCACTCCCGGCCCTCCGGTACACAGATATGCAGCATTACAGCTCTGCACAGAGAAACACTGGAAAGGCACGCTGTGATTTAACACTTCTGGCAGGAGGAAATGCTTTTCCACGTCCAGTCCTTATCTGCACAGCGAGCCAAGGAAACTAAACGCTCTACAAAGGTGCAGCTGCTGAAACCATGTCTGATATCACAGAAGGAATAAATCTGTGGTGGTAAGAAAAAAAATCTTACTTACTCTGCGTTAGCTTTGACAAAAGAATAAACACATCAGTCTGATTTAAGGGTCAATTATATGCAGGTAATGCTGCCCCTCATGAGATTTACTGTAGTCTGATCAAAACAAGGTGTAAAAATAATTTGAAATTAATGATTTTGTCACTACCAACAGCAAAACAATGATGTTTTTGCTCATGCTTTTGTGTGTTGGTCTGTACTGTTAGAAAAAATATCCCATGAAATGCCTAATTTAAAAGACAAYGCAATTCAAAATGGCTGCCACATATAAATGGCTATAACAGTCAATTTCACAGATATTGAGTTAAATTTTGCTGATATCAGCTGAAAGTCGACCTCTCCTCTGCAGATGTGAAGAGAAAATGCTGCAGTTTAGTCTCTGAATGAATCACGCYGAGACACGTTTGCGGCCATGCCACTACAGCTGCAGAGACATCCAGCAGTGCAGGGCGAGAGCTGGTAGCCACACACACAGCTGATGGCACGCTCATCCTGACTTGTTCCCATCATGCTTTGCAGCATGATTGATGAGGCAATGAGGGCTGCAGTACTTTACAGTCCTATTTGCCGTATGTTTCAACTGTCAGAGGAGAGGAGGTGGAATAYGCAAAAGCATGTTCATTTAACAGCCCTCTCTTCTTGGACTAGATTTATAAGATTAGCTGAAAACWGTTGTAAAGATGGCTGTTATTTATCCAACAGCCTTAGTCAACTCATAGTTCTGACCAATCACACAATACTTGGCACATACCCTGCAAAACCGAAGTTCTGCCTGGGTTCAATRTTCAAGATGGGGTCTCAGTTAGGGGTGTTAGTGAAGAAAAATACACAATTTTCATCATGAAATYGTGTCAGTCACAATGTCTTCTATGTCATGGACTACAAATTAGACTTTACTTGCATCCAAGAAGAATAAAGAGCACACCATGAACTCAACACAAAAACAAAAATGAAGTCTGATCTTCACCTGCATTGCATTGCAGAAAAAAACTAATAAATCTATATGTTGAAGTTTAAAAACCTAAATWAAACCAATTACTGACTGGTTTTAGCATGCAAATGTGGCTAACTCAGCTGATAACAAGCACAAACAAAACCAACAATACATTACAACCTTAAAAGACAAGAAATGTCAACAACTCCAAGTGTTCTAGTGCAAAAGGGACTCCCACTTGTTATCCAAGATTATGGGATGTTTACGTCTCTACATTTAACCTGAGACACAATAAGAACTTAAGCACATCAGTCAAGAATCCAACCAGACCAGTTTAGCAATTCATGTGTCTAACTTAACTTCACAACAAATAAGTCAGACTGAAAGAAAGAGAGAAGAAAAAAATAATGTTTTTAAATAAATGACTTACTCATGGTGGGAGTCCAGGAGTGGGGGGGCAGGACAAGGCCTGATTGGGGCGGGGCTTTGGACAGGTGAGGTTAATCTCCACTGGGTCTTTCTGAGAGGAACTCATGACCTGAGACAGACAGAAAGAAACATAACATAAAATAGTTTGCATGCAAAAAGACAATATTTTTCATTGATGTGACCAGAACTCCAGTTTGCATCRTGGCACCTTCCTACAAGGCCATGCAGCTATGAATGGTTTTTATTTTTATTTTGAGGTTTTACAACTGTTCCTACAGAATGTCTAACGTTTGATTCTGAGTTGATAATAGACGACCGATCAGAAAACTCCAACATTTATTTTAAGTCTGGGCAGGAGAAATATACACTCCCTTTTATATCCATCTATAATTTATTCATGGATCACTTTCCGGTTCCGACACTTCACCAACTCAAAACTCTTAAAGACAAAACAATAAMGTAAAGAAAACGAGTTTCAATAAGGACACTAGATCTAAGAAATGAGAAACGCTGCCATCTTTCTCACCTTGTTGATGAAAGATGTGGGTTTTATAATTAACATTTTCACTGGGACAGAAATGGCGAGGCACAGAGCGAGTAAATTACTGGCTTTGGCTTTGCATTGTGAGTTGGTGTGTGTTTCCTTGTGTGTGTGTGTGTGT